GGCTTAGCATACGATGGGGTGGGAGATCCCCACGTACACCTGAGGAGTTACCAGGGTGGCCTCATGCTATTGGGGGCCACCGACGCGGCAATATGCAGGCTGTTCTTCAGTACCCTTCGGGGACCAGCCCAGGAATGGTTCGGAACATTACAACCCGGGTCGATCGGGAGCTTTGCGGAGCTATCCACCTTGTTCTTGGCTCAGTTCGCCTCCAGCTCAACCCCGAAATTACATTTCGGGTATCTAACCAGTGTGAGGCAAGGGCCTAGAGAATCAATCTCCGGATTCCTCACCAGGTGGAGGACCGAAACCCTGAAGGTGACCGGCATGACAGATGAGACGGCCATCCTTCTTTTCACCGATGCCCTTCAGACGGGAGATTTATACAGGGAGCTGAAGAGGAATCCGGGGACCAGCTACCCAGACATCCTGGAAAGGGCCAGGAACTATGCGGCCCTGGAAGAAGAGATCAGGATAAGGGACCGAACGGCCCCACAACCTCCCACTTCAAGACTGGCAGAACGTCTGGGACCCACACCAGCGGCTGCAGCACCTCATCGAAGGACTACGCGCTTCACCCCCCTGGTCATGTCTATAGCTGGTGTTTTCCATTTGGAACATAACGCTATTCCTCCCCCTACTGACACAAGGCCCGTGATGGGACCTACCCCAAGCTCCTACTGCAGATATCACCAACGGAACGGGCACCTCACGAAGGATTGCCACGCCCTACATGTGGCAATTGAGGACCTGATCCAAAAGGGCTACCTGAGGAAGTATGTCAGCACCAGCCTGAACAGCCCCAATCAGCGCCCTCCCCGATCCAATAGCTGGAAGCGGGATGCCCAGCGGGATGCAGAACCCAGTAATGATTCATACCTTCCCCTATAGAGGAGGCTGAGGGGTCTGGGAATCCAGGGAAAAAGCCACGATTGGAGGTGAAAGTCATCTTTGGCGGGGGAGAGACCGGGGATACGGCCGCCGAACGCAAGAAATTTGAGCGCAGCCTCTATGTCGCCACTGTAGCTGCACCTCTCACAAAGAAGGGCCGCCTAGAGCCAATCATGTTCGGGGTGGCTGATTTACCCAACTCACCAAGTCCGCACAGGGACGAGCTAGTGGTGAGTATGTGTATAGACAACGCCTTGATCCACCGAGTTCTGGTGGACACGGGAAGTAGTGTGAACGTGCTGTATTTACGCACGTTGGAGAAGATGAAGCTGAAGAAGGACCAGCTGACCAAGCTGAAGACGCCGCTGGCTAGCTTCACCGGCAATGTAATAGAGGCTGAGGGCACCATCCAGCTTCTGGTGGAAATTGGTGATGAAATTCACCGAGCGGCAGTCCGGATGACGTTTGTGGTGGTGGATATTGCATGTGCCCACAACGCCATATTGGGCCGTCCGGGGCTAGAAGATTTGGAGGCAATTGCCTCTGTTCGACACTCATGCATCAAATTCCCAACTGACACTGGTGTAGGAGTGGCTCGAACAGATCCTGCCATAGCCCGAACGTGCTACCGGGAAGCGTTGAAACAAATGACCACCCGGGGACAGCGGGTAAACAGCATTGAGGTACAAACCCGGTGTACGGAGTTCGAGGAACGCCCCGAGCCAGCCACCCTCTTAGAATACATCGAGCTTGATTCCCCTCCCGATCGTAAGATTGCGATCGGGGTGGATCTTGAAGGGGGAATCAGGGAGGGGGTGATCGCTGTCCTGAAGAGATTCCAGGTCCTATTTGCCCGAGGACCCGAGGACATGCCGGGAATTGATCCGGCCCTCATCTGCCACAAGTTGGCCGTTCGGCCTGATGCCAGGCCAGTCCAACAGAAGAAGAGATATCAGGCGGCCGAACGGCGGGAATTCACAAAGCAGGAGGTAGCCACCTTACTGAGAATCAGGCACATTAGACCAGTCATCCATGTCGAATGGTTGGCTAATGTGGTCCTTGCTCCAAAAGGAGCTACTTGGAGAATGTGTGTGGACTACTCTGATCTGAACAAAGCCTGCCCCATGGACCCCTATCCTGTCCCACGAATAGACCTGCTGGTAGACGAAACGGCAGGATGTGAACTGCTGAGCTTTATGGATGCCTTCCGGGGTTATCACCAAGTCTTCATGCACCCAGATGATGCAGAAAAAACTGCGTTCGTCACCTCGGACGGCGTGTTCTGCTATATCGTCATGCCGTTCGGGTTGAAGAATGCAATGGCCACTTTTCAAAGAATGATCGGCATACTCTTCAAAGAGGTACTAGGGGTAACCATGGAGGCATATGTAGATGACATCCTAATCAAGAGCAGGAAGAAGGAGGATCATGTCCGGGATATGGAAAGGGTCTTCGGGATCATGCAGAAGGCCAACATGAGACTAAATCCAAAAAAGTGCGCCTTCGCAGTCAACGGGGGCAAATTTTTGGGTTATATGATGAGCGAGCGGGGGATTGAGCCTAATCCTGAGAAAGTAAAAGCAATCATGGACATGGAAGCACCGCGGAACTTGAAAGAAGTTCAGAAGTTGACCGGAAGGTTAGCGGCTTTGAGCCGATTTATGGCTAAACTGGCTGATCGCGCCATTCCATTTTTCCAAATAATGAAAAAGGCCAACCCGTTCGAATGGACAGCAGAATGTCAGGCAGCTTTTGAAGAATTCAAATTGTACCTGTCTTCCCCCCTGGTCTTAACTAAAGCAGACCCAGGGGAACATCTCTATATGTATCTGGCTGTGGCTGATCTGGCGGTCAGCTTTGTTTTATTAAAGGAAGAGGAGGGCGTTCAGCGCCCTATATACTTTGTGAGCAAAGCCCTGAACGGGCCAGAGACCAGGTACACCCTACTGGAAAAAACTATTTTAGCATTGATTGCTACCATCAAGCGACTGGCACCCTATTTCCAGGCCCACCCAGTCACCATCTACACCACCCAGCCCCTGGCCACCATACTGAGAAATCCTATGGCAAGTGGGCGTATCACCAAGTGGTCCCTCCTGATCGGGCAGTATGAAATAGACTTCAAGCCTCGCCCCACGATCAAGGGACAGGCTTTGGCTGACTTCATTGCCGAATGCACTGCCAGATCAACTGAAGAAGGAGCGAACGGAGGAGTACAGGACCATTGGTGGGAAATGTATGTGGATGGAGCGTCCAGCAGCAAAGGCTGTGGTGGGGGTGCTGTGATCACATGCCCCGAGGGGTTCAAGGCATACTACTCCGTACAGTTTGACTTCAAGGTGACCAACAATGAGGCCGAGTATGAGGCCCTTATTGCTGGTTTAAAGTATGCCAAGGCCCTGGGGGCCAGCAGATTAAAAGTCCGTTCGGATAGTCAGCTGGTGGTAAGCCAGATTAATGGATCTGCCGAGGTTAGGGAAGAACGGCTAAAAGCCTACAAGGAACTGGTTGAGGAAGAAATCGGCAGGTTCGAACAAGTGGTGATGGACCAGATTCCCAGGATCGAAAACAGTGAGGCAGACATCCTATCCAAACTGGAATGTGCCGTTCGGGATGATCATGCCCCGGGCATCCCCCCACACATCCAGAGGTTCGCACGGAAAGAAATACTGACCACACCGGCTACAATGGTTGTGCGGGTAGATGCCGTGTCCTATGCCGTTCCAAGCTGGGTCACCGACTTGACAAATTACCTGAAGGATGGGACTTTGCCGAACGATAAAAATGACGTATACAACCTCACTTGTATACAGCGAAGAGCCCCAATGTTCGAACTAGTGGACGGACAGCTGTACAAAAAGACGTTCGGGGGGGCCATATCTGAAATGCCTTCCACCCGATCAGGCAGCCGCTGTGATGGAAGAAATTCACGAAGGTATCTGCTCCAGCCATCAGGGGCCAAAAACCCTGGCTAGGAAAATCATCCTGCAGGGTTACTATTGGCCAACTATTCAGCAGGACTGTTTTGGGCACACAAAGAAGTGCAAAATATGTCAGCTCTACGCACCAGTACCTGGGCGGCCCGCGACCTTTTACACTCCAATGACCATATCATTACCATTCGCTAGATGGGGGATCGACTTGCTAGGGCCCCTACCTAATGCGACCGGAGGAAGGAAGTACATCATAGTGGGGATTGATTACTTCACCAAATGGGTGGAAGCCGAACCCCTGGCCAGTATCACGGATTTTCAATGTCAACGTTTTGTTTGGCAAAATATTATATGCAGATTCGGGCTGCCCGAGCAGGTCATTACGGATAATGGACGACAGTTTGTGAGCAAGAACTTCGAGGAATTCCTCACTAGATGGGGAATCAAGCATTCAAGGGCTTCCGTAGCATATCCGCAGGCGAACGGGCAGGTAGAGAACATGAACAGAACCATCATGGATGGTATAAAAAAGAAGCTCGAAGATTACGCATCAACCTGGCCCGAACAGTTAAACTACGTCTTGTGGACATACAGGACAACTCCCCGAACAGCAACCGGAGAGACACCATTCGCCCTCGCTTATGGATTTCAGGCTAAGGTCCCAACTGAGGTCTTGGTGCCCACTCACAGAACCATCCACTATGATCCTGAGCAGAATGAGGACAACCTGCGAGCTGAACTCCACTTCATAGAAGAAAGAAGGGATCTCTCAGCTTTACGAATGGAGGAATATCACCGGGCAACTAAGAGGTATGTGGATAAACAGGCTAAAATCCGTTCGATCGAAGTCGGAGACCTTGTCCTGAGGAATAGAGAAAAAAGCAAACCGCTAGAGGGCGGGAAGATGTCAAAGAATTGGGAGGGACCATACAGGGTCTGGAAAAAATACCGGACGGGGACCTTTTCACTACAGGATACCGAAGGCCGTCCGGCAGGGATATGGAACGCTACGCATTTGCGGAAATTTTATCAATAAAAAACGGCTGTTGCCACCTCTGAAAAAAAAAAAAAAAAAAAAAAAAAGGGGGGGGGGGGGAGAACAATGTTTCCAAAAAGGCCAGAGTTAAGAGGAATATTGCGAGCCGAACGGTATCAACATGCCGAACGGTGTCACGCCCCGGACCGCGTCCGTGCCACGTAGACAACCGCCGTACAACCCAATAAGAACAACATAGTTCATCCTTATCAAATCATACAAGGCGTCCGTTAAGTTCTATTGCCAAGCCGATTAGTAAACCCACACAATCAACATCAATATATATTAGTCAAACAAATGCGGAAAATAAGATATGTTTGATACTTAGCCACACGTGGCAAATACGGGCACGCAGGCCCCCAAATGTTTTAATAGAAAACATTGTTAAAAATATCCATGAGCAGTTGCATTATTTCAAATGAGAATGGAAGCACGAACCACGTCTTCCTCCTTGATCAATCACCCTAGGCAAAGGTGCAGGTAGTAGGACTCTAGCCTCAACCTGAAAAATGTGAGGGCCCCCGAAGGGGTCAGTACTCCATAGAAGTACTAGTGACAAGCAGGCTATATGAGGAATAACTAATGTTTCAGACACGAGACCCAAAAATAGGATGATACATATGTATATAGGTGTAACCATTGTTACCCCATTCCCAAGATAATACATACTGTATATACTTGTAAAATACTTGACCCATAGGTCGTTTCCACACAAAAAGTCTTTTAGAGATAAGGTACTTGCCCGACCTTTCCCCTTTCATCCCGAATGCCTAGCTCACGAGCTACATTCTACCTTCATAATATCCTACCGAGTTTCGGGAGTGTTTACCGTCCCGGGGATGCTCAACCCCACCGAGTTTTAGGATCATTTACTGTCCCGAGGATACTCAACCTCAACCGAGTTTTAGGATTGTTTACCATCCTGAGGATACTCAACCTCACCGAGTTTTAGGATTGTTTACCGTCCTGAGGATACTCAACCTCACCGAGTTTTAGGATTGTTTACCGTCCTGAGGATACTCAACCTCACCGAGTTTTAGGATCGTTTGCCGTCCCGAGGATACTCAACCTCACCGAGTTTTAGGATCGTTTACCGTCCCGAGGATACTCAACCTCAACCTTATTTCTAACCAAACCCTAACCTGGATATGGCTAACCTTTCATTCACTTAACTATGGACAATACCTAGTCCTATAGTCATATAATAATCCCTAGTAACCAACGTGGGCGGGTCCCACTTGAACGACCCACGTTAACCTGCTCAAAACTGCCCGTTTTGGGCCTAGTCCAATACCCGGTCGGGTATCCAACCTCACCCGGTCGGGTAGGTCGGGGCAGAAGCCCCTGGAACTGATTTTACTTGGGACCCCGGTCGGGTCCATACCCTGACCCGGTCGGGTCTAGTAAGGCAGTGGCTTCTGGAGCCATTTTTAATCATTACCCGGTCGGGTATATACCCATACCCGGTCGGGTATCACTTTTGTCTCGGCGGTCAACGCCCGTTTGACCGCCCAAACGAAGTCCGATTAACGCGAAATTTTACACGCATGTACTCCTTGACGTCCTTGATCCAAAAATACCATTTTGTATCCCTGGAGCCTTGTACATATTAAGTTATAACATTTTTAATCTCCAAACATCCAAAACATACCTTTCCAACTATGTTTTATATATAATCATGGCATAAGCCCATACTTGATTAACTTTAATCATTCCATAAAACATGTTCTTGATTATTTTAGGTAATCTCATGCCTCAATCAAAAGTTATAAAGCATATAGCCGTCTTCTCACCTTAAAAGAAGCTTATGAAGTCCTAGCCTTTCTTATTGAGCTCCGGTGGAACTCCGGTGAACTTCAGCCAACTCCGGCGACAACTCCGGCAACCCTTTCAACTCCGTGAAAGTTCTTGAAGCACCTTATACAAGTTAACAACAAGGTTTTATCATCATAAAACCCATATCAACACAAATAACCTCTAAAAGGTTATTTCCCGACGAACCGGTCAACTTTGTTCTCAAGGTTCGTTTTGGATATGAATCAACCTTCCAACCCTTCATTCTTCACATATAACATGTAGAATGATCCTAGGGGCATGAAATATGATTAAGGAGAAGAAATGAGGTGGGTGAAGTCATTACCTTGTTAACCACAAGCTTTTCCTTCTAATTTTCTTCTTCCTCTTCTCCCTTTTTCCTCCCTTCTTCTTCCCCTTGCTTTGTGCGTGAATGAAGGATGGAAATGGTGGTTTTGCAGACCTTCTCTCTTCAAGGATAATGGCCTGGACGAGATTGATGGGCTGGGGTGATTGAAAATGTCTCCTTTGGCTTATTCCTCAATAATATGGGGGAGAGGGACCCCTTTTCTTTTCAAATTGTCCTTAAATCATTTCCTCCCCCATTCCTCATTCTTAGGTGCGGCTCACCTTGAGTTCTTTCAGGCCAAGGACGTGGGTTGGCCCCCACTTATGTGGGTGGTCATCCTTTTGTGACCCGGAATGTATATTTGGCCCCGAAAGTTGTATTTTCCGGACTGTTTTAACTATATTTCGTTTTATCGGGTAAAATGAAATATCTCTCCCTCTTCCACTTATTATTGGCTATAAGAATGAATGTATATTACCCAACTCTTACCTTGGTGGTCTCCATAACTCGTTATGGCTTTTTATCTGATATTACTTCGGTACTGATAAATGGGCTTTATATGCCCAAACGGTTACTCGTATAATTTCTATGGACCAACAAGGATGTCCACCATTATACACATATTATCTTGACCCAAATGAATATAATATGTGGTCCCGATAATATCGAGCGGCCCCCACTTCCGGTGTGGGCCCCACGTGAATTTTACTATTCACGTAAAAGAAATGATAAAAATTCACAATCACGTAAAATGCGTTTATTCATTCCTCGGGTTCAATACATAATTTGATAAAGTACAATTACTTGGGGGCGGTGTTACAAGTTCTACCCCCCTTATTTGGGATTTCGTCCCCGAAATCCACGTGTCTAGTCAAACAGAAATGGATACTGTTCCCTCATCAGGGTCTCCACTTCCCAAGTTTGCTCCTCGACACGATCACTCTTCCAAAGCACCTTCACCATCGGTACCTCTTTACTCCTTAGCTTCTTTACCTGTCGGTCCATGATCTTTACCGGCTGCACCGCATAGTGAAGGTCTTCCCGGATTTCTACCGGTGGTTTCTCAAGAATATGTGACGGGTCCCGTACATACTTCTTGAGCATAGAAACATGAAATACATTATGAATCTTTTCTAATTCTGGAGTTAACTGAAGCCGGTACGCTACAACCCCAATCCTTTCAATGATTTTGAATGGGCCTATGTAGCGTGGGTTAAGCTTACCCCGACTGAGGAACCTGATGATCCCTTTCCAAGGTGACACCCTCAGAAATACCTCATCGCCGACCTCGAACTCTAACGTCCTTCGTCGTTTATCTGCATAGCTCTTCTGCCGATCTTGGGCAGCCTTGAGTCTACCCTGAATAATCCTCACCTTCTCCTTGGTGATTTCGACTAGCTCGACGCCCTCAAGCTTAGCCTCGCCTACCTCATCCCAACACAAAGGTGTCCGACATTTCCTCCCATACAATGCCTCGTATGGAGGCATGCCTATACTTGCTTGATAACTGTTGTTATAAGCAAATTCCACCAAAGCCAACTGGTTGTCCCAACTTCCTTGGAACTCTAAGGCACATGCCCTCAACATGTCCTCCAAAATCTGAATCACTCGTTCAGATTGCCCATCTGTTTGAGGATGGAATGCCGTGCTAAACCTCAACTTTGTTCCCATGGATTCTTGGAACTTAGGCCAAAACCGTGATGTGAACCGTGGGTCTCTATCCGACACTATAGTGACCGGGACCCCATGCAGTCTCACGATCTCGTCAGTATACAACTTGGCCAGTCGCTCAAGCGTATAAGTAGTGTTGATAGGTAGAAAATGGGCACTCTTGGTCAACCTATCAACTACCACCCATACCGCATCAAAGTTCCTAACCGTCCGTGGCAAACCTACCACGAAGTCCATAGTAACATGCTCCCACTTCCATTCTGGGATGGTAAGTGGCTGTAATAACCCTGCTGGGTGTTGGTGCTCTGCCTTGACCTGCTGACAGGTAAGGCAACGACTCACATAATCAGCAATCTCTCTCTTCATCCCCGACCACCAGTAACTTTCTTTCAAGTCCCGGTACATCTTTGTTCCACCTGGGTGCATGGCATACGCAGATGAGTGAGCCTCCTCAAGAATAGATTTTCGGAGCTCCTCATCTGACGGCACACACACTCGCTCCTTGAATAGTAGGAGTCCATCTTCTCTCTCACGGAAACCCTCGACGGGTCCCACCAGCATCCGTTCCCGGATTTTCTGAAATTCCTCGTCATTGCCCTGACGCGTTCTGATTTCGTCTAATAAGGTGGGTCTCACCTCAAATCTGGCCAGTAAGGCCCCATTCGTGGATACCTCCACGTGTGCCCTCAATGCTCGTAAGCATGTGAGTAAAACCCCTGATGAACTTTTCCTACTGAGAGCATCAGCAACCACGTTAGCCTTACCTGGATGATAGTCAATAATCAAGTTGTAATCCTTGATTAACTCCATCCATCTTCTTTGCCTCATGTTCAACTCTTTCTGAGTGAACACGTACTTCAAACTCTTGTGATCTGTATAAATGTGACACACCTCACCGTAGAGGTAATGCCTCCAAATCTTCAACGCAAACACCACAGCTCCTAGCTCAAGGTCATGTGTGGGGTAATTCACTTCATGCTTCCTCAGTTGCCGAGAAGCATAAGCAATTACCTTCCCCGATTGCATCAGTACGCACCCAAGCCCCTGGATGCTAGCATCGCTATAGATGTCATACCCCAACCCTTGCACGGGTAGAGCAAGTACTGGTGCTTCAGTCAACCGTTTCTTTAGCTCAAGAAACCCCTTCTCACACTTGTCATCCCACACAAACTTAGCTCCCTTTTTGGTGAGCTTCGTGAGTGGAGATGCTATTACGGAGAACTTCTCCACGAATTTGCGGTAATACCCTGCCAAACCAAGGAAACTCCTTATTTCCTTCACATTCTTGGGCCTCTCCCAATTAGTGACTGCCTCAATCTTCGAGTTATCAACTGAAATGCCCGAACCTGATACCACGTGCCCGAGAAAACCGATCTCTCCAAGCCAAAATTCACACTTGGAGAATTTGGCAAAGAGTTGCTTCTCCCGCAGTGTTCCAAGTACGAGCCTTAGATGTTTCTCGTGTTCTTCTTCGTTCTTGGAGTATATCAAAATGTCATCAATGAACACTATGACGAATTGGTCCAAGTATTGATGAAATACTCGGTTCATGAGGTCCATGAATGCCGCGGGGGCATTTGTAAGCCCGAACGACATCACTAGGAACTCATAGTGACCATACCTTGTACGGAATGCACTCTTGGGTATGTCACTTTCCTTGATCTTCAGTTGATGGTAGCCCGACCTCAAGTCGATCTTGGAGAATACGGTTGCCCCCCGTAATTGGTCAAACAAGTCGTCAATCCTTGGCAAAGGGTATTTGTTCTTTACCGTGACCTTGTTCAATTGACGGTAGTCGATACACATTCTCATTGTGCCATCCTTCTTCTTTACAAAGAGTACAGGTGCTCCCCATGGTGAATGACTTGGTCTAATGAATCCGTTATCTAGTAGCTCTTCCAATTGAACTTTCAACTCTTGAAGTTCAGCCGGTGCCATTCGATACGGAGGAATTGAGATAGGTTTGGTGCCTGGTTCAACCTCGATCTCAAACTCAATCTCCCGATCAGGTGGAAGTCCCGGTAGCTCTTCAGGGAACACCTCCGGATACTCGCTCACCACCTTCACTTCCGTGATACTCTTCCCCTTGCCTTCCTTGCCTATGACATAGGCTAAGTAAGCTTGACATCCCTTCCTCATCATACGCCTTGCTCTTATGGTCGATATGATGCAAGGATTGAATTTTCCTCTATCTCCCTTGAACCATACAGTATTTCCTTCACCGTCCTTGAGTTCCAACACTTTAGTGTAGCAATCTACCCTTGCATGGTGCTTTTCAAGCCAGTCCATGCCAAGTATGGCATCAAACTCAAGCATGGCTAACGGTACGAAGTCACCCTTTAGACAGTGCTTCCCTATCTCCACATCACATGAAGGATAATAGTCATTTCGTTCAACGTCATCCCCTAGAGGCGTAGATACCAAAAGGGTTTGCATCATTGGTATTAAAGGTGTGCCTAACCCCACGGCAAACACCTCACTAACGAATGAACGTTGTGCTCCCGTATCGATAAGGATCCTCGCATCCCTTCCATTAATCTTTAACGTTCCTACAATTATAAGTCATGTAAGGTACCTTGCCTACCTAAATTGAACTGTAGGCCCCGAAAAAGTCCGTAATTTACAATATACAGCAATACCCGGTCGGGTACACCTTTGTACCCGGTCGGGTATCCAATCCAGAAGCCAGCGGGTATGGAAATTTGGTATACCCGGTCGGGTACCCTGTTGTACCCGGTCGGGTATCCGTTCCAGAAGCTCGCGGGTAAAAATTTTCATTCTGCCCGGTCGGGTAACCTTCAATACCCGGTCGGGTAATCGTTCCAGTGGGTTTACCAGGCCAAAATCTCAGTATACCCGGTCGGGTGACCTGCCTTACCCGGTCGGGTATCAGCCTGGTTTCGTTGAACTTCCCTCGATTCGACCCTAAGTCAGTTTGCAATTGACCCTTAGGACTTATAACTTTAGTATAAGCCTAGAAACATATAACATTTTAGTATATTACCTGCAACAGAGTCCGGGTTTGCTCGCGCATCCGCCTCGGTCATTGCATACACTCGTGCCTGGGTCTTACCTTGGTTAACGGACGCGGCATTGCTTGCCGTAGGTCCGCCCCTTCCCGTGCCGCCCTGAGATGGTCCTGCACGACCCCTTCCAGACGTAGGTGCCTCAACAGCTCCCGATGGCCCACCTCCACTCAACATTGGGCAAGAGAGTTTGAGGTGGCTTGTGCTACCACACTTGTAGCACCGGGGTGGTTCATTGCACTTCCCGGAGTGATTCCTGTTACAGTTTGGACACCTTGGTGGCCTCACGCTCCCCGAGCTATGCCCTTGCCCTCCTGGGCCCTTACTCTTCTTTGCCGGTGGTTCTGGCGCCCTGAATGATCTTCCATTCCCGGCGTGATGTTTCCGAGAGTGGTCTTGGGGTCCAGAATTCCCCCATCTTCTCTTCTTCGCCTCTTCGGCGTCTCTCTTCTTCCTTTCATTCCACTTGGCTTCCCCAAGTAGCCCCTGATCCACAATCTCACTAAAGGTCATGTGATGATTGTAGGTAGCCCGATCACGGATATCCAAGTGTAGGGTGTCCCAGAAGTGATTAGCCATACGGTTCTCATCCATGGCGTACTCGGGTATGTACCGTGCCAAGTCCCGGAACCTCTGTTCCAATTGCCTTACCGAGCACCCCTCCTCCTGTGTCAAGGTCATGTACTCTTTCCTCTTTTGGTTCTTCTCAAACTCTGAGTAGTATTGATTATAAAATTCTACTTCGAATTTCTCCCAGGTGGTCTCACCGTGGAACTTTCCTTCCACGCCTTCCCACCATACCGCGGCTACTCCCTCCAGTAACCTGGTAGCAACTGTCAGCTTTATATCAAGCCCGATCTGCATATCCCTAGCAGCCTCATTTAGCTTCTTGATCCAGTCGGCAGCTACCGATATATCACCCTTGCCATCAAATGACTTGCACCCCAAGGCCCTAGCCTCCTTGAGGTATTTGGAGATTCTTACACAAAAACCTCCTCCATGCATTCCCTGTGACGCCACAGGTGTAGCCACTGATGCTCCCCGGCTTCCGTGACCTGAAGCCCCCTGAGAGGCACGCCTAGCCTGGCGCCTAAGATCTCGCCTTAGTTTCTCTTTTTGATACCATTCAAACAATTCGCCCATCTGGGCGAACTTGGCATCACTCTCATCGTTGTCATCGTCGGTATACGTATCACCCCCATCGTATGGGGTCTCCTCCTGTTCCGTCTCGGGAACATAAGTAGAGTCATAATCCTCGGTGTGAGTCCCGTGCACCGAGCTAACATGGCCATCGCTCACGGTTTGAGCCTGATGACCTCCACGGCTTCCACGGCCTCCACGGCCTCCACGGCCTCTCCTACCGCCTCTCGCACCCCGAGATGCAACCTGGCTGGCCCCTACGGACGTCGCCTGAGTTTGCCCTCTCGGGTTGTTCCTCGTAGCCATGTGTCTACCCTCCATTTCTGAAAGAAATTTGGAATGAGTCGTTAGACTCGTATCAATGTCAATTGACGGAATAGTACAAAAGACACCACTTGGTCCAACATTATGGCCAACAAACTGTTAAGGGTACCGTCTTAACGATAAGAGGTCAATAACTTGGTTTCCAACGGTTCCTTAAGTACAAAAACTTTTGCTCATGGTTTTGTTCAAAACTTTTGATGGTACTATATTGAGAGGTTAATTATATAGTTTAGAAATCGATGGCTCTGATACCACTTAATTGTCACGCCCCGGACCGCGTCCGTGCCACGTAGACAACCGCCGTACAACCCAATAAGAACAACATAGTTCATCCTTATCAAATCATACAAGGCGTCCGTTAAGTTCTATTGCCAAGCCGATTAGTAAACCCACACAATCAACATCAATATATATTAGTCAAACAAATGCGGAAAATAAGATATGTTTGATACTTAGCCACACGTGGCAAATACGGGCACGCAGGCCCCCAAATGTTTTAATAGAAAACATTGTTAAAAATATCCATGAGCAGTTGCATTATTTCAAATGAGAATGGAAGCACGAACCACGTCTTCCTCCTTGATCAATCACCCTAGGCAAAGGTGCAGGTAGTAGGACTCTAGCCTCAACCTGAAAAATGTGAGGGCCCCCGAAGGGGTCAGTACTCCATAGAAGTACTAGTGACAAGCAGGCTATATGAGGAATAACTAATGTTTCAGACACGAGACCCAAAAATAGGATGATACATATGTATATAGGTGTAACCATTGTTACCCCATTCCCAAGATAATACATACTGTATATACTTGTAAAATACTTGACCCATAGGTCGTTTCCACACAAAAAGTCTTTTAGAGATAAGGTACTTGCCCGACCTTTCCCCTTTCATCCCGAATGCCTAGCTCACGAGCTACATTCTACCTTCATAATATCCTACCGAGTTTCGGGAGTGTTTACCGTCCCGGGGATGCTCAACCCCACCGAGTTTTAGGATCATTTACTGTCCCGAGGATACTCAACCTCAACCGAGTTTTAGGATTGTTTACCATCCTGAGGATACTCAACCTCACCGAGTTTTAGGATTGTTTACCGTCCTGAGGATACTCAACCTCACCGAGTTTTAGGATTGTTTACCGTCCTGAGGATACTCAACCTCACCGAGTTTTAGGATCGTTTGCCGTCCCGAGGATACTCAACCTCACCGAGTTTTAGGATCGTTTACCGTCCCGAGGATACTCAACCTCAACCTTATTTCTAACCAAACCCTAACCTGGATATGGCTAACCTTTCATTCACTTAACTATGGACAATACCTAGTCCTATAGTCATATAATAATCCCTAGTAACCAACGTGGGCGGGTCCCACTTGAACGACCCACGTTAACCTGCTCAAAACTGCCCGTTTTGGGCCTAGTCCAATACCCGGTCGGGTATCCAACCTCACCCGGTCGGGTAGGTCGGGGCAGAAGCCCCTGGAACTGATTTTACTTGGGACCCGGTCGGGTCCATACCCTGACCCGGTCGGGTCTAGTAAGGCAGTGGCTTCTGGAGCCATTTTTAATCATTACCCGGTCGGGTATATACCCATACCCGGTCGGGTATCACTTTTGTCTCGGCGGTCAACGCCCGTTTGACCGCCCAAACGAAGTCCGATTAACGCGAAATTTTACACGCATGTACTCCTTGACGTCCTTGATCCAAAAATACCATTTTGTATCCCTGGAGCCTTGTACATATTAAGTTATAACATTTTTAATCTCCAAACATCCAAAACATACCTTTCCAACTATGTTTTATATATAATCATGGCATAAGCCCATACTTGATTAACTTTAATCATTCCATAAAACATGTTCTTGATTATTTTAGGTAATCTCATGCCTCAATCAAAAGTTATAAAGCATATAGCCGTCTTCTCACCTTAAAAGAAGCTTATGAAGTCCTAGCCTTTCTTATTGAGCTCCGGTGGAACTCCGGTGAACTTCAGCCAACTCCGGCGACAACTCCGGCAACCCTTTCAACTCCGTGAAAGTTCTTGAAGCACCTTATACAAGTTAACAACAAGGTTTTATCATCATAAAACCCATATCAACACAAATAACCTCTAAAAGGTTATTTCCCGACGAACCGGTCAACTTTGTTCTCAAGGTTCGTTTTGGATATGAATCAACCTTCCAACCCTTCATTCTTCACATATAACATGTAGAATGATCCTAGGGGCATGAAATATGATTAAGGAGAAGAAATGAGGTGGGTGAAGTCATTACCTTGTTAACCACAAGCTTTTCCTTCTAATTTTCTTCTTCCTCTTCTCCCTTTTTCCTCCCTTCTTCTTCCCCTTGCTTTGTGCGTGAATGAAGGATGGAAATGGTGGTTTTGCAGACCTTCTCTCTTCAAGGATAATGGCCTGGACGAGATTGATGGGCTGGGGTGATTGAAAATGTCTCCTTTGGCTTATTCCTCAATAATATGGGGGAGAGGGACCCCTTTTCTTTTCAAATTGTCCTTAAATCATTTCCTCCCCCATTCCTCATTCTTAGGTGCGGCTCACCTTGAGTTCTTTCAGGCCAAGGACGTGGGTTGGCCCCCACTTATGTGGGTGGTCATCCTTTTGTGACCCGGAATGTATATTTGGCCCCGAAAGTTGTATTTTCCGGACTGTTTTAACTATATTTCGTTTTATCGGGTAAAATGAAATATCTCTCCCTCTTCCACTTATTATTGGCTATAAGAATGAATGTATATTACCCAACTCTTACCTTGGTGGTCTCCATAACTCGTTATGGCTTTTTATCTGATATTACTTCGGTACTGATAAATGGGCTTTATATGCCCAAACGGTTACTCGTATAATTTCTATGGACCAACAAGGATGTCCACCATTATACACATATTATCTTGACCCAAATGAATATAATATGTGGTCCCGATAATATCGAGCGGCCCCCACTTCCGGTGTGGGCCCCACGTGAATTTTACTATTCACGTAAAAGAAATGATAAAAATTCACAATCACGTAAAATGCGTTTATTCATTCCTCGGGTTCAATACATAATTTGATAAAGTACAATTACTTGGGGGCGGTGTTACAAACGGCATCACCACAAACTCGGCCAAAAGTCTCACCTTGATCTATAGATATCATTTATCTCGATCCATGGGGAGCCATCATCTCAGCACAAAAAAAAAAAAAAAAAAAAAAAAAAAAAAGGAGTGCAGGATACCAAGCCCGGACTCGGCTTGGGAGATGGTGTAAAAGATCTTGAGTAGGACGAACCGGGCGGCATCCGAAGTCATAGGGTGACCGAGCGGGGGATCGGGACTCTGGTCTTAAAATCTTGCCTGGGACATACAGCTCGTCTGAACTTTATGGTGGTGGAACCCGAGCTGTATCCTGGAGGCGAGTCTCCATTTTGGCAGAGAATAAGGGGGAGACCCGAATTGGGAGCCTTATTCTCAACGGTCCAGGATGGACATCTCAACCTCATGATATGGATGACCCCGGACGGTAAAACCGACGGTATGCATCGAAATTATGGGCTTGGAAGATGGCAGACACTACACGAATTGTGAAATTGTCTTGCAGCAAGAGGTGATTGCCTTGCGAATAAGGAATACCGCGGAGGATAACCCGAACAGGTTACTCTATCCTTCAGGGAACAACCAGTCGACGGTAATAAAACCGGACGGCATGCATCTGAAACATGGTGCTCGGAGGCGCAGCAAGCATTTAACATTGATGACTTGCGCGTTCAAGGAACAACCAGTCGACGGTAATAAACCGGACGGCATGCATCTGAAACATGGTGCTCGGGGACGCAGCAGGCGTTGAACATTATGTCTTGCGCGTTCAGGAAACAAAGAACAACAGACGGAAATAAATCGAACAGCTTGCACCTCAACTTTGGTGTTAGGGAAGGGTCGAACAGCTTACATCTCAATCAGGAGGCTGAGTTGAAAAAGAAAAAAAAAAAAAAAAAAAAAGTGAGTGTTCGGGAAGCAAGTCATTCGGAAACGGATCAATCTTTATTCTTCGGCACTACTGACCGGGAATTATACAGGAGAAGAAGAAAAGGAGATTACAACAGAGATAACTAAGCTACGGGAGGATCCTTGTTCGGCACGGCATCCGAGTTGGGGTTCGGGGGATTGGCTGAATCTTTAGCCTTCTGCCTCTTCTCCATCACCCGTTGATAAGCACGGCAGAATAAGGGGTCGAAACCTTCCTCCTTGGGGTCGAAGGGTTCATCGAATGATTCCTTGATCACCTCCAGATTCCGGTCGACTAACATATCCTGGCACTTAACAAGTGTGTCCCTTGCTAGGGCATTGGCGAAGGCTGTCCCGGACGGGGTCTCATCCAGGAGCTGGAGGCCGTCACGAAGAGGATCCTTACTCTTCTTCAAGAACTCCCCAAGATGCTTTCCAAGGAACTCCCGGGCAGTCTCCTCCAGGGCTACGTTCAAACCTTTACCCCGTTGGAAATCAATCACTGCCTGCTGAGTGATTCTAGAAGTATCGGCCTGAACGGGTGCTGCTGGCTGTCCGCCCTCTTTAGGCTGGGTCTTTTTGAACTTGACACCAGCAGCTTCGGCAGCAGCAATCTTGTCCTTCAGCGCCCGGATCTCCCGATCGCGACGCTGGAGCCTCTGCTCCAGTTCGGCCAATTCAGCCCTGGCCTTGTCACCCTTGTTGGCTCGATCTTGGAGATCTGCAGCCATTTTCCTAGCAGCAGCCAAAAGGGTTTGGCTCTCGTCCAGCTCCTGATGAAGAAGGGTCATCTCCCGTTCAGCTGCTAGGAAGGCCCGGTGATAGTATGTACCGGCCTGTGGAAAAAGAAACAGCAGTAAGAACAAGTTCTTAAAATGTTATAAAAAGAAAGAACTGAACGGTCAAAGGCATACCTTAAGGGACTCAGCATGGCCTGCTTCGACCAAATCAGACCAATGGGTCAAGTTGGTAAAGCCCTCGCCAGCTTTCAAAGAAGTGCTGCACCATATGGAGGATGCAGTCTGCCCGAACAGCGTCCGGCATTCGGCTCGGGGACCCATGGCGGAAAACTCCACCGTCAACCGATCGGGGATCGGGAGACTATCTGAAGCAGCGCCTCCCCTGTTGCCCAGCTTCCTTGAAGGGGAGGGGATCATGGGCATCCTTTCCACAGAAGGATCCGTCAGGTCAATGACCTGATCGATCGGGACCAAGGCGCCGCTGCTTTCGATTCTCGGCCGCTTGTTTACTGGCCCAGATTCCCGGCCGGAGAAAGAACCTGACTGAATAGCCTTCTCCTTTCCCTTGCTGGCTATGGCGGTGGAGGAAGGAGTAGGAGCAGGACGCTTTATGGAGACAGGGGGAATCACACCTACAGGAAAGAACAAAGAAAAATGAACAAGAGGTTGAAAAATACACCGAACGAACAAAGTAAGGGAAGAAACATACCAATGCCAGCAGCTAGCATCTTAGCAGGAGTCAAGAAGGACCGTAGGTTCTTGGAACCGGCCAGACGGAGCCTTTCGTACTGACAGACAATAGCTGCGTCCACCTTGGGGGAGGCATCCTGAACGGGGTAGGTGTTCCACCGATCAGGGAACGGAAGCGGCGACCCCACATGAACGAACAAAAATCGTTCCTCCCATTTCTCCGGCGGGGTGGGGTTGTCAGTGAAGAGCGAACGGCCAGGGCGGGCGACAAGCCGCAGGTACCCCGGTGGTCCAATAGGGCTGGACGCCGTAGCAGTGCAAAAAGAGGTCGGCGCTAGGGGCAATCCCCAACTCATGGCACCAGACGATAAAACCGTTCAGGATCCTATAAGTGCTAGGCACGAACTGTGCTGGCAGTACTGAGACCCGGCGGAGGAATTCCACAATGAACGGGTGCAAAGGGAACCTCAAACCAGCAATCAAGGCATCCATGTGCACAACCACACATCCCGGACGGTGTCGCATGGGATGTTTGATGAACCCCGCATTGAACTGACGGGGTGGAGGTAGTAATTGGCGGAGCATCTGTTCTGCATCAGCAGGAAGGCGTTGACGTTGCTTCCTGATGCAATGGAAGTTCAGACTATAACGGGGGGGCCGTTCAGGCATGCCCTTATTGTAGATGGCTAAGTCATCTCCCGACTGACATCCATCATCAGGGAGGGGCTGTTCGGGATGAAGTGAGGCAGAAGACCCGTTAGAACCCAACGATCAGGTAGATGTGCCTTGATCCTTGGGGTGAGCTTTTCCCCTGGAAAGGCGAATCAAAGTGGGTGCCATATCTTCGGAGTCTGACGAACCAGAAAAGGCAGACATTAATTGTGAATAAACGGAGAAAATTCTAGAGAGAGAAAGCTTGAAAGAATTCAGAAGCAGCAGAAAAAACTGAAACAAAGTAGCTGCATCCTTATATAAGGAAATACAACCGCCAGGAATTCGAATGAATAATAGACACGTGTCAAGGCGGCTGAGAGAAGTTAAAGCATCCTTTGGGGTGGGTGAACACCCGAACGGGGTTGAAATCAACAAAGTTCACGAACCTCTACGATTGAAAAAGAAAAAGGCTAGAGGCGCTTCCCCGAACGGGATACACCAAAATGTAATGAAGAATGATCGGGGTACCCGAACAGTATGGTTAGCCTACATGGAAAAATCTGGCAGATACAACGAAGAAGGTAACACTACATCCCGAATGCTGAACACAATTACCAACTAGTTGAAAAAAAAAAAAAAAAAAAAAAAAAAAAAGAAGAAAAAAAAAAAAAAAAAAAAAAAAAAAAAAAGGGACCTGCGGACATAATTGACGAGGAAAGTACAGGAGTTTATACCCCGAACAGATGGGGAGGGTAAAATAATGGTCGTACCCGAACAGTATGGTTATCTAAGAGGTTTTATTATAAGAATAGATTGAACGGGTTCATTATACGCAACATGTGTTAACAAGATTATCAAGTCCTGAAGTCTGGATTTAACAAGGAGTTCACCCGAACAGGTGACCTGATCGCAACATGAAACGTATTGCAGAGGCGAATTGATAGGTGAAAAACAAATATGAAATACAGTAAGTCACAAAGACAAGATGAGCAGGCAAAAATTGTATATTCATCGGCTCTACTGGCCGGAAAGTACAGAAACCACTGATTCAAAAGAAAAGGAGTACAGATGAGTGTCTAAATCTACTGTTCGGGATGATCTTCACCCTCTTCATCATCTTCTTCATCATCAGCTTCGTCAACAATTGGCACCACATCCATCCCCAGGGCTCGCCGGCACTTTTTCATCTGAGCCATCAGGGCGTTCAGATGATCGGGATGAAGATCAGCGGGAAAGTCAGAGGGTTGCACCGCTCGGCCCATATGTTTCTCTATGAGGGGGAGGAGAGGCTGAAGCATATGTTGGCAACCTGAGCTGTAGACCCCGCGGGCGAAGTTTTCAGCCCACTCCTTGGTGACAGAATGCTGATCAAGCACCCTGATCCCCTCCTTCTGGCGCTCTTCTCCGGCCAGTTTCTCCAAGTGCCTCCCGAAAACAGCAGGGAGCTGTTCGGTGGCGTATTCTTCCTTGAGAGCCAGAAACTCCTCGGAAGCTTTGAATTGATCCCGAACGGCAGATAGATCAACTAACATTTCAGCCGGGCCGTCCGGGATTTGAGGAGGGGCCTCAGAAAACTTGACCTGAGCGGCCTCAGCTGCCGCGATCTTGGCCTGGAGAGAGCCTACCATGACACGAAGCTCCCCAGCCTCAGCTTCTAGCTTCCTCCGCTCCTCGGCAAAAGCCCGGCGTTCGGCCTCTGATGCATGTTCAGCCGTTTCCTTGGCCATCAGCAGCCCTTGTTCCTTGGCCTGCCTGGCCTCTCTGAGTTTCAGGCTGTAGATCCCTACCTGTTGATCGAGTACAAATAAGGAATGAGAACCTGGTAAATTAATGAACAACCGAAAAAAAAAGAGGGGTGATAAGAAGTTACCTTCAGGGCAGCCAAGGCAATACACTCTTCGGCCTCCTCGACCGGCATCGGAGGAAGGTTATGCCCATTAAGGAAGCCCGATGTGGACCAAATCTGGCTTGCTGGACAGCCTCCCCTTTCCAGCATTCCATGAGCGGGATCTTGAAGGGAGATCTGCTCAAACTGGCTCGCCAAATCAGCCTGGTTGGCGGCCAGTTCCTCAGCGGAAAAGTGGTGAGGCTGCTGATCAGAGAAGAGCTGATCCATCAGCATATCAGCATGTGAAGATTGCTGTTCAGGGGCAACCTGCTGCACAGGTTCTACATCCCGAACAGGTTCAGACTGCTCGGGGACGACGGGGGCGGATTGGGAGGATGTCCCCTGATCTGCCTTCCTCAACCTCTTCCTCTTTGTCTTCCTCTGCTGCTTGGGAGGAGAGGTTGGTGGCTCGTCATCAAATCCAACAGTGAAAAGCCTGCTGTCATCCATAGCCGGTTGTTCGGGATTGGCTCCTTCGGAGTCTGAAGATTCGCCTTGCTTTAGAGCTGAAAAGATAACAAAGGAACAAGTTAGTACCGAGCGGTTCACACGTGGATTTATAGTACTATCACACGGGAAGGACCGCCCGGGCCATGGTACTTGGTTTTCAGTCAAGTAGGTCCAGGAATACGGGCAGTACCTATCCCGGCCCTAATTAGCCGTTCGGGAGTCAGGTAAGACATGATTTTGAAACAGCCTCCTGCCTCCACAGCAATGACATCTTGGCTAAGCTCCTCAGAGATGAATGGCTCGGGGGATTTAGGAGGAAATGCGTTCCACTTCCTAGGAATCAGACCGTTCGGGACAGAGACAAAGAAAAACCTATCTTTCCAACCCTTAATGGAAGAAGGGGCATCACAGAACAAAATATGTCCTGGACGGGAGCTTACCACCAGGAAGCCGTGGGACTGCTGGGGGATAACCGAAAAGAAATAGTGGAAAAGCTCTAGAGTGGGTGTGACCTTGACACTGTGACAACGACAAATGAAACCAGCTATCGACCGGTAGGAGTTCGGCATTATTTGGGCTGGTACTACATTGTAAAAATTCAAAAGGGAGACAAAAAAGGGGTGAAGTGGGAATCTAAGACCGGCCTTGACTGAGTCGAAATGGACCACAACCATCCCTGGGAAGTGGCGCATTGGGTGAAGACCCGATTGAAGGCGGAAGTCCACCGAATCAGGAATTAGCATCTGAATTTGGGCCCGATTCTGGGCCGTGAGCTTTTGGCGCCTAAACCTAATAAGAGCTAGGTCAAGCTTATGACAGGAAACGCCGCTTGGAGGGCCGGCTTCCATAACCTCCAATTCATCCCCCGATTTGGTGCCATCAGAATAAACATCGGAGGAAGAGGAATCATCGCCGTTAACCTCCGCCGGAATACGGACAACTTGCAGCGTATCATTGGGGTTTTCTTCTGGAATTACAGTGCCGGAGGTAGAGAGTTCAGATGAACGACGGGTTGCCATACCGATCGAACAAGGAGGATAGAAAAAAGACAAAGGCCAGAAAGTACCTGAGCGAGAACTAAGGAATAGCTCTAGAGAGGATGAATGATAAGCCGGAGATGCAAAGTTTCGAAACCCGGAATCAGAACCAGAAGAGCCTATTTATACTCTGTCACGCCGATTCAGCTGCCAATCAAAAGAGGACACGTTTTTTGTAATGATGACAGAGACACGTGTCGCACAGAGAATCCTTCTCAAGTAATCATGACGTTTATCGGAAAAGCGAAACGGCAGTTGCAAATAACCGTCAGAACATGCCTCGGGAACCGGCGGAAGTCCATCCGATACTCACCCGAACAACATTCGGGCAATAAACTTATACTTCCTTATGCACTCACTACCGTTCGAGACATAGGAAGTGGGGGACTAGTGTTGGGATATTGGGTCCAGGCCCAATATCCCTAGGCCCAAATCCGGGAAGAAGCAGCAAGCGGGGCCCAAATCCGGAAAGAACTCCCGAACGGCATTCGGGATAAAACTTATACTTGGAACATTCTGGGAAACAATTATGCCAAAGCGTCAAGGCCAGATATCGACCGGTGTTCGGGATACTTCCATCAATTAGATCACCTATGGCAGAGATACCGATCGGCGTTCGGCATATGTTCATAAGCAGGATAGCACCTATGGCGGGGCCCCACACACCGAACACCCTGCCCGAGCGGGCTATCAGCAAGTGGAAGCCGCATTTAATGCTGGATCATGACAGCAGCAAGTGGGGGCGTGGGTTCTTACATGGCAGAGGTGATAGCCTACCAGATTCGACCACGTGTCCACCTTACCCATCCCCATTTTAGTATAAATACCCATGTTTAGATCATTGTAAAGGGTTAGCATTTTAATACTCAGAGCTTAGCAATAGATTTACACCTTCTATCCTTGTAATCTCATATTCATCTACCGTTCGGGTAGTCTCAGTATAATCACATATTTATTGAATATCGGTAAGCTTTTGAGTTGAGCAAATATCTCACTGTTTTATATTTTATACATATTTCAACCATACCCAATATCCCTACAATATCCAAGGCTTGTGTTGGGCTTTCGGATCTTCGGGAATAAACCTCAACAGTGGTAATGTTTTTTTTTAATTTTACGATTTTTTTTAAATATTTTTTGTTATTTTTTTAAAAAATATTTTTATTAATTGTCTATTATTTTTTTATGATTTTTAGTATTTTTTTCGATTTTTATTATTCTGTTATGATTTTATTATTAATTAAAACATTTGACAAGTTACAAGAGTATATTTGTTCAAACACACATAAATAGTCCTATTAAGGGAATTTAAAAAATGTACTCCTATTTGTGCAATTTTGCCACTTTTTAGTCCTATATAGGGAATTGACTCTTAATACAACTGTACGAGTGGGACATATGGCTAGTGGTATTATTTGTGATCCCTATAAAATACAAAAATGTAACATCACCTGTATATTAATTAACTCACTAATATACAGGTACCCTACCATGATTACAACCCATTGTATTAATATGAATTTCCTAATATAGCCTGTAATTATTGTATACACATAATTATGTCGTAAAATAACTACTATGTCGGCTAAAATTTAAATAAGTAGGTTTACTGAGTGGATATTATGTAGGTATATCCAATCTCGGTCTAATGTAATTCTAATAGTATGTCTTCATACACTACATAATGTTAGGATTTAATACCGGATTAGCATATCGTTACGGGTAAGCCCACGTACAAACGATTAATACATAACTTTGATTGGTAAATTACGGTAAATTCTAGTTATGTTCATCGTATGGCTAGTTCTACATAGCCAATTATATGTATATAACAAGTCGATTTACTAATTGACTTGGGATAATAATAGTTTAATGTAAGTGTCGACCATAGAAACACGAGATTATGATTGAAAGTGTTACATTCAAAATGTTTTCACTTATGCAAGGTTACTACAGTCAAATACCATATCTTATTTGCCATACGGTCTATATTAATTGTCGAACTATTTACATGTTATAGACTTATAGAAAATTACCAATGTATATCAAATCATCTGTGGTCGACTAAATTGATGTATTACATGTGAAATAAAATATCGAAACAACGTGACATCCAAATAACATTGAAATTGGATATCATGGATTGGGTAGCCAAAAATTGGACATCAGTTTGATACGTTATCATACCATTAACTTAATTACTAGTACAAGGGTATATATCATATAATATTACCAGTGTAGTATC